CCATCCATGTTCCCACGTGGGCTGCAGACATACTGCCTGTAGAGTGTTTTTTGTACCTGCTGGTGGCCTCAGCAATGCAACAAAAATGAGCTCAGCTCCCGACTGCACAGCAAATAAACGTGTCCAGAAGTAACATTTCAATTGCTTACAACTTGGAGAAGTTTAAATTCTCTCCTCCGCTCCCAACTGTATCCCAGGTGTAACCCTACCACAGTGAAAAGTCATTGCATATCTGATTTTGAACACTGCAAATTACAGAACGTTATTACCAGCCTCTTCCATCTCCCAGAACAGCTCAAGAAATGTCCATGTTCTATTTAAAATAGTTAAATTTTACAAGCATGAGATCAGGGTTTGTTATGGAAGTAAAGGTGTAACCGTACTGCCCTTTTGTGCATTACCAGAAGACGGGTGTTGTGCATGTGCGCATGGGCACTACATGCACATTCCCCCCAGTGCAGCATCAAACGATAAATAATTTTAACCATCTATGTGACCTAACAACTGCCAACTTGGGGCAGTTCCCACACCTCAGGACATGAACCATTTCTACAGAGAATTTAGGAGAGCAGGTCTTTCATGACATGCATTTTTTTTTAATTTCAAGAAGAAATATTTTAAAGCAGTTTTGAAGGCTTACCTCCTCGCTGCACCAGCAACGTGACTTCGCTTCCCTTAGGACATTCAATCAGCATATCCACCACCTGGTTGTGAGTGAGGCTCTGCACATTCTTCTTGTTGACTTCGACTATAAGATCGCCCTCCTTCAGGCCGCGGCACCGCGGGCTGTCCACGATTTGTTTCACTCTTTGGCCGCCCCCACCGGGACTGTCTGCTATAGTAAACCCAAAGCCCATAGGCCCTTTCACTATATGCACAGTTATGAGTTCAGGTTGTGTTGCTATCGAAGATGCCAAAGAGACCGTGTCATTGGGGTAACCATGGGGTCCGTTGGAAGAGACCTCAGCCGGGCTGCTGGGTCTTGCTTCCTTTGTGCCATTTACTTTCCCTGTTTTACTACTGTGGCTCGCCGGAGAGTCGTAATTTTCCTGCCCGTTCACAATGATCGGCTCTTTGTCCAAAATTGCCACGGACGTAACCAGGCTCGTGTTGGGATCATCGGGATCAAAGGGCAGGGGGTAGCCTCGGCACAGTTCGAGGTCCACGCTGGCACCGATGGGGATGGACTGGAAGATCTTCACAACTTGAGCGTGAGTGTGCCCCAGCACACAGGTATCGTTCACGCTGACTATGACGTCCCCTGCAGAGGACACAGAGAGATATACCAAACACATACATTTTGTGCACCCCCGGAAGGTGAGGACTAGAGCCTGCGAGCTGATCCGCAGCATCCACAGGTACCACTCACAGGTAAACAGTAGCATTTAAGCACCTTTGCAAGGAAAAGGAGCGGTGACATTTGGGCAAGCAAGAACTATCTGTACACGATGGATTCACTGCATAAAGCCTTTATGTACATAAACGTTTTTGAAAGTGAAAATGGAATTGGCTCATGCAAAAAATTAATAAATTCCAATGATGGTATATGGCCCATTTAACGGTTATTTCGAAGCCCGGCTCTCACTGTTATACACTGTGCTTCACTGACATATGATAGAAACAAAACTGAGAGCACATGAGAGCTATAACAGAAGGCTCTCAAATACCAACTGCTCAAATACGGTGCCACGCGTCATGTCTCAGACATACTTCGGCCTGAAATCTAGGTATCAATTAAGTTATGATTCATTTTTTAACACTGGGGCTGCAACGCAGGGATGTTTAATGTTGTCATGCTCCACCTGCAAGTGAGGAGTTGTGACCTCAGGTGAATTCTAACAGGATTTCATCATGCTGGGCCTGATCTCTGGCAAAACAAATTGGCCCTTGGTGCCTCCACACTGGGGAAATGCAAACTAGCCCACTTCTCTTCCCATTCCCTGGGAGTAGCTTTGGAGAGGGGGTGAGCAGCATGACAGATACAAAAACCAGAGTGATGCAGCCCTACAAAAATACCACAGCCATTGCCACAGCGGGGCACAGTAACCCGCAGCCTGACGCGGGACCCTACAACCACTGGCTCCTCTCCACAGGTCAGCGTGGGGAGAGCAGGAGCTGGCAGAGCCCCAGCTGGGTATTTTGACACCCGAGGTGAATTTCCAGCACGTGAAGTGCCTTTCTATAAGATTTTGAACATATCCCTCAATGTATCTCACTTCTCTGCTTGCTGATTGGAAAGCTGAACGCCTTTCCCCCAAAAAGGGATGAGGACTGAAGTTCTTTATGAATTGTACATAAAACCAGCTGTAAAAACATAAACCAAAGTGGTGGTGGGGATTTTGATTTAAAGCATCGGTACCTGTTTCCATTTTGCCATCCAATGCTGCGGGGCCGTCAAGCACCAAACTTTTTATTTGGAGAAATTCATCCGGCTCATCCCCTCCAACGACAGTGAAGCCGAAACCCCTGCTGCTTTTCCTTAGCTTGGTGTGGATGAACTTCCCTTTCAACTCAGAAGGGTTTCGTGTAAAAAAAGGCTTTCCTGTGTAGGAAGTTTGGAAAAATCTATAAACAGGCAGGCAAGAGCGTTTGATCTGTTTTTTCTCTGCCCCTCCCCGCTCTAACAAGTACACAGACAAACACCGCGGTGTGCTGGGACGGGACTGAACTCCACTCCAGCACCTTCTCATCTCATCGCACTCCACCCGTCTCCTTGGATCCAATCATGCAGTAAAAAAAGTAAGCAAACCCCCTAGTACCTGGTGCTTTGTTAGCTGTGGTTGTGCACACCAAAGTCTCAAGGCTACAAAGGGGGAAACATGCTGCTTTAAGGAATGGAATATATTAAAGCTGGCAATGCTGGCTTAGCTATGTGTCTTATCTCTGTCCTGAGGTGGTTATATCCATCCCAGGAAGGATGGCACAGGGGCAGCACAAATGCCTCCTACAGAAGGAGTCTGCAGCAAGAATTTCTACAGAAGGGAATATCATTATGTTTTTCACCACTTGGCTTTCTCCCAACCCACCAAGCAAAAAGGAACTTCTGAGGTGTGGCAAGACACTGCATAACCCTTTAGCATAACCCCCCCTGCCCCACCATCGCTACCACCCTGTGGCCTCCTCCGGTGCAAGAGGGGAGGGCACTGATGTTGTTCTTCAGACACTGTTTGAAGTCTTTTCTCTTTCCTTTCTGCTCCTTGCCTGTTGTGGATGAAACACTGCCGTTGTGAAGTATGGATCAAAGAGCGGCCCGGGACTGGAGTGGCTGTGCTGGAGGGCTGTTAATGCTCTCTGGGAGCACGGTTAAGAGGGAGCAAGGTGCTCCAAAGAAAAAAGCGCGTCCTTGCAAAGCATGTTGCACAGGCTTGGAAGAGGAATCACAGTTGCTGTACTTCAGAGTGCCAACACTAAACACCTTTGCACTTTTAATTGTTTTTAATGCTTAGAGGGGAAAAGACTGTGCCACTAAGCCCTCTGGTGACAGCTCCAGGATCAGCAGCGTGTATCGCAGCCAGGAGAGCTGGCATACTTTCAAAAACTTCGGCAGCATTGCCATGGGCCTCTGTTCAGAAAGGAGACCTTGAGGGAGAGTGAGGGGATTTGCGACTTGTAAGCCTTTGACTGGGGAAAAAAAAAAGTATATTTGAAGATTATTCATGAGGGGGCAGTGTGAGGACTTGCAGTCTTCTGCCTTTGAAGGGTAGCAGAGGAACACGGTATTCCTGCACATCGTGGGCAGATGCTCTGCTCAGACCCCAAGCTGCAAAAAACCCCAGACTATCAAAGTGCAACCCAACGTCTCAGGTAACAAACACGGCTGAGAGGCAGTGTGCAGCGGGGCTCGGTCCTGTGCTGATTTCTGCTTCAAAAGACAAGCAGAACAATCACAGCTTGGTGGCATCTGCCTACAAATACAGGGTGAACTTGCCCTGTAGTTGCCCTGTAGGTGCCCTGTAGGATAGCAGCACCACAGGCTACATCCCACCTACAGCATTTGGGAGGGGATCACATTTTAAATGAGTGTATCTACAAAACCCCAGCTGGGAGAGCGATGCCAGGGGCACAAGGAGGGGTCCTTGTGCCGATGTCCCCACCAGCAGTGCCATCAGTGGGAGAGATGAAAACGCCTGGGCATAGGGCAGGGGGACAGGGAAGCTGGAAATAGCTACTGCAAATGGGGAGCGGGAAAAGAGGCAGCAGCACTGAGAAAGAAAAAGGAAGGAATGAAAGAGAGAAGGAGTCATCAGCGGGTACCAGGACATGTCACTCAGAGTGGTGCTGAGACAGGCTAATTCTCTCCTGTAACGTTACTGCAAAATTTTGTGGCTGGCAGTCGGGAGTGGGTGGAGAACGGAGTGAGGCTTCTAACGTCATCCCCTGCGTGACAGGTCCTTTGCATTGCCATGCATGGATGCTTGGGCAGCCCTCGCTTCAGCCTGACAGTGGAAGAGGCAGAAGCGGCATTCACAGATGTCTCCCTGAGGAAGACCAGCTGTTTTGGGGCACTCTGATAAAATGCCTAACCCCAGATGCTTGGTGGTCGGGGTACCATGCCCAGACCTCCCGCGTTTTTCTTTGCTGCAAGTCTAGATTACTCTAATGTACTCTAATACCCCTCAGGAATGAATGTGCTGGGCGCTTTGGATACTGTTAACTTCACACATCTGTTTTGGAAGGGCTGATCTGCTGCCACCTGCAGCAAAGAGCACTCCCTGGCTCTTCACAGCAGGAAAGGCAGCCCGGCGCAGCAGCACCCTTGCCAGGCTCACCTTCGGAGACCACGGCTGACCTGCAGAGCATGGGAGTATTTCCCAGCTCCCGGGGCCAGCCTCCCCCCCCCTGGCTGCTCCCAGCCCTGTCAGGATGACATGCTCCAGCCAGATTCCCCCTCTCTCACCTTCCCCAGCCTCTGGTTCCTGCAGACCGGGGCAATACCATTCGGTTGCTACACAATTTAGCTGTAGCCAAAGATGAAGCCTGCTTACAACCACTTGTAACCAGAGAGCACTTGTACTGCAACAGGTACAAGGAGGACTCTCTGCCCTTGCTGGCAACCTGATCTGGCAATGTTTCAGCTCACGCTGCAAATTCAGGAATGATTCATGTCCTGTCTGGTTAGTTATTTAAGACAAGCAACTGGTCTGTGAGTAGTTGGCTATACACAGAGCATTGACGCTAATAAATAAGGCTATAAGAGCCCAAAGTACTTGTACACATGTACAACTTCAAAGTAGGTCCGCAGTATTTGGACCTATTATCTTTCCCTCCTCATGCAGAGCTTCCCAGAGGAGCTTCAACTCAGGTTTTTCAGAAACATGATATAATTTGCCCCTAACATGTGGCCAAGGTGCCTGTGCCTCTTCGCCCTCTGTTACTACAGAAAGTCAAATTCAGCACGGAGGCCCGGTAGCTCTGCACAGCTCTCCAAATGGCAGAGGATATCCCTCTTCTGCTGTTCCCTCCAGCTTCTACCCCCCCAAATTTTCATTTGGATTCAAAGCACACAAAAAGGAAAATCCATAAAGTTGCAAGCCAGACTCATCCACGGCAATACCAGAACCTGGCTGCTCAGATGTCACAAATGCAACCAAGACACCCAAGCTCTCCAAAACCAAGGTCCTGCCAAACAGTGCCGACAACCTATGCACATCACAGCTCCCAAACACACTGACCAGTTTCCTCTGACCAGTTTCCAGGGCTCTTAAACTACTTTAACGTGAAAATCTACCTGCCCACAAATGCAGACGTGGGGTGACATTGGCTTTGGCTCTCAAACTAACATGACCATGTGTCTTAATCACAGTGCAACACAGTGAGATTTTGCGCTGCTTTTTGGGAGGGAATGTTGACCTATGAGAACAGAAAGAAATCTCTGCACTAGATCTTATAATAAGAGCCACATTCAAAACTCAGTAGAGTTTAGAAGGTGTAAAAGTCTAATCCTTGCATATCCATACAGCTCTATAGAAAAGGGTCTCCTCCTACTTGCATTTGCATCCACCACAGTTGCTGTTAAATCCCAACGATGATGTAACTCATGTTTTCACCATGCCTTTTTAAAGACTTGGAATGTCATACAGAGAATAGCCACAACCCTTTTTTGTTGCAGGCGATCTCATTTGCCTCTTGCATTTGGCAGCAAATGTGGTCTCGAAACAACTAGTCTCAAAATCTATGTGAATTCAGGTAAGCCAGGCACATGCCCTGGTGTGTGACACTAGTCATGGAGATATTCCCTTTGCTGGTAGCTGAGGGAATTTCATTCTCAGGAAAAAAAACCTTGTTGCACTTTTACAACTGGTTTAACAAGGTTGTTACCTTGCACTGGTGCTTCCCGAACTGCCTCCTGGTTGTTTGAAACATGGTTTGGAGCAGCGGGTGGTGGGAGAGATGGACACTCCTCTGTCCATTCTAGAGAGGGCAGAGAGGGAAATGTTACTCGTTTCACAACAGCACTATGAGGTCCTGCACGTACACACACTGGGAGTGTGGGGTTCAAGCAGAGGAGACATGAGAAGCATGGCAAGAGAGGAAAGAGAGTCACGGAGAGAGGGAATAAAATGAATGGGATGTTCAAAAACCAGTTCTGGAGGACTCTCTATGTCCAGGCCAACTGATCTGTCTGCTGGGACACCCTACCTCACACTCAAACTTGGGACTTGATTTGCATCTAAGTGGTCTTGACATTTATATGAAATCTATATCTCACGGCACAAATGGCATCTAAGTAGAAGAGCTGATGTTGCAGGCAATGGGGCTGCAGGAGGAATGTTGAAGCCTCAATTATTTTCCCCTTGGATAATAACTGTTGTGAAATAACTTGGTGTGAAAGCTATGACGGTACCAAAACAAACCCAAATGCCACAGGCCCCTCGCTGCAGTTGGGCTGCATTTAAAGGGGGAAAAAAAAAAAAAGAAAAAAAGGGGGGAAAAAAGGAAAAGAAAAAAAAAGTGTATTAAAATAATGAAATTACTTCAGGTGTTAGAGCTTGACAACACCCAAAGGTCTTGGGTTAAGAAGTCTCTTATGCAGAGGGGTTTCTCTAATGCGCACATAAATGCCCATTCCTCATCCCCTTCGATAGTCTATGAGTCCCAGTGCAGACTGGAACAACACCAGCTACAGTGAGTAACTTGATGGAGCAGTTTAAAGAGCAAAACGTGTGTTTTAATTGTTTCTGGGAAGCCTAGGAACTTTCCAGAAATAAAGGATGTTAAAAGAAAAATCTCTCCCCTTTAACAGGGGTGAAAGCTACTACGTTTCAGTGGTTATACGGTTTAGATTTTCTCCTTTGCTGCATCTTATGTGAAGGGCATATGCAACCTTTCCTGTGCACATCATTTTGCTTTTAAACGCTAAGGCCACAGAAGGAAGGATAAACACATTGGCATGGTGCTGCCAAGGCGAGGGAGGGCACGTGCCCCCATGAGAACCCCAACCATCACGCCCTCGGTGGTGCCAACCTTCTGGTGGCTGTTGCTGTTGCTCAAGCTGTTTCTTCCTCTTTGCTTCAAGAACTGGGTTTTCATACTGTGTCTTCCGGTTGATGTGGCTGGAGATGAAAGAGAGCAATAAATTAGGAAACCCTTTACGTGACAAGCA